TCGCGAAAATTAGACCACCGCGAAATATACAGCTTATACAGTAGGTCAGAACAAAAGCAATCTTAATATATCCCAGCGATTGTAAAAACGGACACAATGTTCGATATCTATCTAATAAGATAACTATCGAGAATACACAGATATGATCAATCATGATCATGATAATCAAACACTCGTTTCTGGTGATTACTTGATTAATCAATTGATTAATTGATCAACCCAAGGTAATTGATGTAATTGTGATACGTACGTGTGATTTTTACACATCGCAGTCGATAAACGACAATCAGACCTTTGCTCAAATGACAAAGAGTTGGAAAGGTGTAGATTGTTTGTCAGAAATGATATGAATTTTTGAATTTTTGTATGAAACATGTTGAAGACGTCAGTAACGGGTATCGCTGCTTCCTAGGCAGAGCTTCGGGCTTCTGCACAGCCGAGGAAAGTAAGGCCACGATGCCTATAGATGGCGCCACTTTCCCTTTTCCTTTTCTTTCTGCCTGCATTTAATAATATAATAATCTAATCATTTAATTTTATGATATTTTAATAACTAATGTAATAAAGCTATTGGAATATATGCACCATTAGGGTGTTTATTTGTGCTTGCTAGGATAATCATAATTATGATTTGTCAGTGGCCCGTGCAAACAGTGCATATAACAGCAACCTAATAAAAATACGAGAAAATTCTCTTCTTTATATGCTCTTGATGTTATAGTGACCAAATCCTAGCGTTGTCGCAACCTACAACCATGTTTTAATTAACTTACAATCGAGTAGAAGTTCCGTTATAACATACACCTTAGTAGCGCACAGAGCACGCGCCTAATATAACGCGTACCCTTGGGAATATCCATCGCGCGCCGCGACAGGAAGTAGTCTATGCAGAACAGTTATAAGAGTGTGAGCCCACACACGTCGCCGCGCGGCGGTGACAGTTCAGCCGTGGTTTTGTGTAGTGTTTAGTCAGACGCATATAATCTTTATTTGGAGTCATTGAGTAGAATAAATCATCTATAGTCCGTATTCTATGTGTTCGCATATGCTATATGATACGATCGTGCTTAGCTTGCACTCGCAGCGTACTCGCACAAGACATGCATATCTCCTACGTACTCCATATACAAGGCTTCCGTGATATCTGCGAGCGCCGGACCTGGGAGCTAAGACATCGCAAGGTACTCGAACATTAAATTACTATACGATCACAGCCATCGCGCCGCAGTATCATTTGGGCCAGTGACTAGGGATACTAGTGATTTTGTATCACTTAGTATCTTACGTCGGGTGACATCGTTCATCTGATATCGAACGGCATTGAGCAACGCACACGCGAATGTGTGAGGAACTTAATCAACACTAGATCGAGAGATAACAATCATAACAACCAATCATCTATACCACCTATGGGTGTGCGCGTGTGCACGTATGTGTACGTGTGCGTGTGTGCGTGTGCACGTATGTGTACGTGTGCGTGTGTGCGTGTGCGTGTTGCGCGCCGTGTGCGTATCGTGGTGCGCCCGGTGCTTAAATGAGTCTGCGTGTGTTGCGCGTATGTGTACGTGTGCGTGTGTGCGTGTGCACGTATGTGTTACGCCTGCGTATTGGCGCGCCGTATGCTATCGTGTGCGCCGCCATATGCCATATCGTGTGCGTGTGTGCGTGTGTGCGCGCCATATGCGTATGCGTGTTCTGCGCGCAGCGTATGTGTGCGCGCTGTGTGCCTATGCGTGAGCGCGTCTATGCGCGCCGTGTTCCGTCTTGCGTGTGCGTCTGGCGGTGTGCGTGTTCGTCGTGTTGTGCGCGCGCGTATGCGTGCGTCGTGGCGTGTGTCACCGTGTGCGTGATGTGCGCTCTGCGTGTGCCGTGGCGCATGCCTGTGCGTGTGTGCGCGTCCGTGTGCCTATGCGTGTACCGTACGATGCGTACTGTGCGCGTCGTGTGCGAAATTCGTGCCGTGCGTACGTGCATGTGAGTGTGTTTATATCCGTGCAGTAATGCGCTTGTTGCTATACAACATGAGGACGCGATAACCAAGATCAACCCGTGAGCTCTAGACTGACCCCACCTGCCACGCCACTCAGAAGCTCGCTATGCTACACGGCCACGAATGGCACGAGAGCAGTGGGCTCCACGAAACCATCTATACGTCAGCTCAAGCAACAATGCGATACTGATACATAGTGGAGGCGATAAGCGAAAAGAAACAGCCACAGAAAAATCAGAAGCAAAACAAGAAACAGAAACGCGCCCACGTATAATCATTTCTGCGCGCGGTTAGATGCCGTGACACCTGTAGACGGTACCGTCCTTCTCACAGCACCCGCTCGATATACAGACTCCTATAATCGAGCGGGGTGTGTGAGAAGGGACGGGTACCAGTCATAACACCTGCACAACGGAGTTTCCACTGTTTACCAGCACTAACGACGCCGATAAAGCGGAACACGATAACGAAGGATGAAGTATTACTATTAGTCCAAATTCTCATGTGACATTCATTTCAGTTCAATCAGAACTTAGTACGCTTTGTCATCCCGAGTATCCACGGGCTAGTTTTGGTCATGAGTTGGTATATGGACTCACGTACGGTCGAGTGTGGAATCTGCTGTGGCATAGGGCTATATATTTACCCGGTCACAAGCTTGGAAAAGCCATTCCTGACACAGCGCGTGAAGTTACAAGTGCTGGACAGCCCTAGCTATCACCAAATGTGACAAATGTGCCTGTCTGGCTGTATGAGGTAAGTCCATTTATATATACTGGTTTGATTTATTTTGGTTCGATTTGGTGTGATCGACCTGAAGGTTCGATGTGTATCGATGTGTGTTCGATGTGTGATCGATCGACCTGAAGGGTCTTATGAATTTGTATAGGAATATATTGACTAGTAACTTTAGGGTTTTACTCGTGCAACTTCAAAACCTAATGCTTCGGAACACAATTAATAATTGGTGGGAAATCTGCATTAGTCTCTCCCATATGTTAATTGCTCTTCTTGTAGATATAAGTATTTAGTGTTAATTAACTCTTGGAAAGATGTATATAGG